ATAATAAATAATACAGAGAGATCTCATGTACCAGTTTCCCTGATGGCAATATCTTGCAAAACCGTAGCGCAGTGACATGACCAGGATACTGATACTGATAAAGTCAAGATATGGAAATTTCCGTCACCACAAAGATGCCTCCCCTTGCCCTTTTATAGCCGCTTGCCTGTCTTACCCCATCCTCAGGCTCTAGCAACCACAAATTGGTTCTCCTTTCTGCAATCTGAATATAAATGGAACCATATCATGTGTAATCTTTTAAAATTTTTTATTTGAGTTGACACACAATGTTACATCAGTTTCAAGTGTACAACATAGTGATTCCTTAAGTTCATACATTATGCTGTGCTCACTGCCAGTGTAGCTACCATCTGTTCCCATACATCACTATTACGGTATCATTGACTATATTCATTATGCTTTCTTGACTTATTTATTCCATAACTGGAAGCCTAGATCTCCTACTCCCCTTCACCCATTTTACCCAACCCCCACTTTTCTCCCCTCTGGCAACTATCAGTTTGTTCTCTGTATGTATAGGTCTAATTTGGCATTTTATTTGCTTATTCATTTGTGGGTGTTTTTTTTTTTTTTTAGATTCCACATATGAGTAAAATCATGTGGTATTTGTCTTTCACGGTCTGACTTATTTCACTAAGCATAATACTCCTTATGCTCATCCATGTCTCAAATGGCACAGTCTTATCCTTTTTTACGTCTGTGTAGCATTCCATTGTATAAATATACATCTTCCTTATCCATTTGTCTGTTGATGGACACTTAGGTTATGTAACCTTTTGTTACTGGCATTTTTCACTCGGCGTAATTCCTTAAGATTCATCCAGGTTGTTGCATGTTTCAAAGTTCATTCCTTTTTATTGCTGAGTCCCTGGTATGGGTATATAGGCCAGTTTGTTTAACCATTTACCTGTGGAAGGATTTCTAGGTTGTTTCCTGCTTTTGATTATTACGAATAAAGCCACTATGAACATTCATGGCCAGGTTTCATTTCCCTGTGATAAATACCAGGAGTGCAACTGCTAGTATAGTAGTTGCATGTTAAGTTTTTATTTTATTTTATTTTTATTTATTTTTTTTTAAGATTTTATTTATTTATTAGAGAGAGGATGAGCACAAGCAGGGGGAGTGGCAGGCAGAGGGAGAGCGAGAAGCAGGCTCCCCACTGAGCAGGGAGCCCGACGTGGGGCTCCATCTCAGAACCCTGAGATCATGACCTGAGCTGATGGCAGCCGCTTAACCGACTGAGCCACCCCAGGTGCCCTTTATTTTATTTTTTTAAAGATTTATTTATTTACTTCAGAGAGAGAGAGAGCAAGGGGAGGGGCAGAGAGAGAAAACACTCAAGCAGGCTCTACACCCAACACAGTCTGACACAGGGCCTGATCCCAGGACTCTGAGGTCATGACCTAAGCCAAAAACAAGAGTCAGACACTCAAACAACTGAGCCACCCAGGCACCCCACATGTTAAGGTTTTTAAGAAATTGCCAAATTTTTTCCAGATTAACTCCACCAACAAAGTACAAGTGTAGTTTCTTTGCATTTTTGTCAGCATTTGGTGTCATTATTTATTTTAGTCGTTTTGATAGGCATATGTAATAATATCTCCCAGTGATCTTAATTTGCCTTTCCCTAATGGCTAATTATGTTGAACATATTTTATGTGCTTGTAGCCATCTGTAGATCCTCTTTGGTGAAATGTCTCTTCGTGTCTTTTGCCCATTTTCTAATGTGTTTGTATTTTATACTACCAAGTTCAGAGGCTTCTTTATATGTTCTAGCACTAGTTTTTTGTCATATATATGGCTTGAAGTATTTTCTCCCCATCTGTAACTTGTCTTTTCATCCTATTAACAAGATCTTTTACAAAAGTGTTGAATTTTGTTGAAGTCCAATTTATTAGTTTTTGTTTTCTAGATTGTGCTTTTAGTGTCAAGTTTAAGAATTATATGCCTAAATCTAGATCCTGAGGATTTTCCTCTATTTTTTTATAGAAGTTTTATAGTTTTATGTTTTACATTTAAGTCTGTGATCCATTTCAAGCCAGTTATTGATAAAGTGAATACTTTAAGAATATTTCTCTCTATATTAATTATTTATTATATTATATAATAAATATTTATTATATATTTATATATATTAATATTCTTAATCAGTACTTAGTCCATATTTTATATGGTTAGTAGCTTTAAGATTGAATAATTAATTGAATAATCTTAGTGTTTTCATTTGGGGTCCTACTTCTTTTGGTATTAAAAAAGTGCCACATTAATAGGTACATGAGACTCAGTGGTCTAGATTTGTGATAAAGGGTTTATGGATGACTACGCCTCTAAAGTAATAAATCAGTCAATAAATACTGAATGCCTACTATATATCGGGCCCTGCTACGGCCATTGAAATATGGCTTATCCTTGGGAGCTATCAGTGTGATGAGGGAGTTAGAGACAAAATTCATTTCGGTATACTGTGTTCAGTGTTGGAATCAGTTTAGTATGATGGCTAAGAACCCAGACTCTGGATTTCATCAGTTTTGGATGGAGTCCTGGCTCTCCCACATCCCACCTGCATAAGGTAACCTCACTAGTCCTTAATTTCCTTACTTATAGAATGTACATTATAAGGTTGTTATGAGGATTGGAAAATACATGTAAAGTTCTTACTGTAAGTGCCAGGCACAGAGTAAGCACTTAATGTTAGCTGCTATGACTGTGGTGGAGATGAAGGTAGGGGTAGAAAGGGAAGAGGAGGTACTGGTCTATGTAGGCAAAGATGTTGTCACACAGAGAGGGGCAGTTATCCTAGAGGTGAATACTTCTTAACTAAATCTGCAGGATTGAAAGAGGACTTCAGTGACCTCCATTTTGACCTGTCTGCACCTTCAAATTAAGTTCTTTTTTCCAGCTTATCTCTTAACTCAGGCAAAAGACCCCTGCAGGCAACTGAAACTACCCCTCAAGCAAAAAAGTCTGCCCTGACGTCAGCAAGACCGCACATGATTGACCCCAAGACAATGATCTTTACTGCTTACCTACATATACCCACCAAACTTTGTCCCACATTTTCCTTATATAAACCCAGAAGTATTTTCAGCACTTTGGAGATAGTCTTTCAGACACTAGTCTGCTGTCTTCCCAGTGTTGGCCTCACTGAAATACATTCCTTTCTTGTTTCACCACCACTCATCTCTCTGCCTTTAGATTTTGTCAGCGGTGAGTGGCTGAACCTGGTCTGTTTGGGAATCCTGGAGCCAGGTGCTCTTGGCACCCCTGAGCCCGGGTTACAGAGTGAATAAGATTTAGCTACAAAAAGAAAGGAAGGAAAAGCATTCAGGACAAAGAGAAGAACAGGAACAAAGGTATAGAAAGATTGTGTATATGTTTATGTAGTTCAGCCATTTGTTATTAATAGAACTTGAAGTAGGAATTGGAAAGTGAGATGTGGCTGGAGAGGTAGGCAAGGACCAGGTCATGGAGGGCGTTGGACTCCTTTCTAAGCAAAAGGAAGGCATTGAAGAGCTTAAGAGACTGGCATAGTCAGATTTGCATTTCCACTCAGCTCACTCCACAGAGTGAAGACTGCTTTGAAGTAGAGGATGTAAATGTGAAAGGTACTCTTTAACAGTTCAGCTGAGAGACAAAGGCCAGAATCAGGGCCATAGTAACTGACAATGGAATGTCTTCTTGTCCTTTTTTTCATATAAAAAAAACCTCCTGTTCAGGGTGCCTGGCTGGTTTAGTCAGAAGCACGTGCAACTCTTGATCTCAGGGTTGTGAGTTCAAGCCCCACATTGGGTGTGGAGATTACTTAAAAATAAAATGTTAAAAAACAAAAACTCAGGGTGCCTGGGGGACTCAGTCAGTTAAGCGGCTGCCTTCGGCTCAGGTCATGATCCCAGAGTCCTGGGATCAAGCCCCGCCCAGGGAGCCCCGCACAGGGAGCCCGCTTCTCCCTCTCCTCCCTGCTCTGCTCTCTTTCACTGTCTCTCTCTCTCTCCCAAATAAATAAACAAAATCTTTAAAAAGACAAAACAAAACAAAAAACTTCTGTTTGCAATTCAGAGCTTCAGTTGGAGAAGGAGATGAGCCTCAGGTTGTAGGGTGTGTGAGAGTGGAAGTCTTGTAAATGAGGGCTCTAAAAAGTCTTATCCAAGACTGGCTATAGTTCCTCTGCCTCAGGCTACTAAGATCGAGTGGTCCTCTCTACTTCTCTAGGTTAGATATGATTTCTTACGATCACCTAAAATATGTATCCACCTAATAGAAAACTCACATTCTTTTTTTTTTTAATGCACCAACTTGGAGTGGGAATTGATAAAGTGGAAGGAAAAAATTACTAAAAAGTACATTTAAGAAAAAGGTATTTGATTCCAACCTGTATTTGCTAAAATCTTTATTTTCTTCATCTATTTTCCCTCCTTTAAGATGGTTTAAAAATGTTAATCATAATTTTATTCTTATATAAAGCTAAAAGGTAAAAAAAGCACAAGGAATTCAATTGTATCATATTCACTACTGTTTTAAAATCTTCTGTGCCATTTCAACTGTGAGAAATAGACTTTTAATTGTTCAAATTAACCACAGTGCAAATCCTGTGAAAAGAGCTGCATCATTTTGTAGACTCTGTTTGAATGTTTGAAAGCACAGCTGACTAAAGATATATGACAAGAATAAATTTAAAAAATAAATAAAATAAATAGGTCCTGGGGATGTACGGTATAGCACATGGCATATAGATAATGATATTGTATTAACTTTTTATGGTAAGAGAAGGTAACTAGATTTATGGTGATCATTTTATACTGTATATAAATGTTGAATCACTAAAAAAAAGAATAAATTAATGTTTTTGGATATTACAAAGAACAGTGCTATTTCTCTTTGTGTGTGTATGTGTAAACAGCTTTTGAAATACAACTTACACTCCATATAATTCACCTATTTCAATTGTGCAATTTAATGGTTGTTTGTTTCTTTAACAGGGAAAAAAAGATGTGACCCAGATATTTAACAACATCCTGAGAAGACAGATAGGTACTCGGAGTCCTACTGTGGAGTACATTAGTGCTCATCCTCATATTCTGTTTATGCTCCTCAAAGGGTAGGTACATGGTTTCCTTTAAAGTAGGTTTGAGTATAGAACAGTTGTTAAAAGTATACAGCATTGCGGTGCCTAGGTGGCTCAGTTGGGTAAATGGTTCCTACGATCACTTTGTTCAGCTTTGCCATTTCAGCTCATAGGAAGGCGAAAATACATGGGAGAAATTATCAGCCATGTCTGGAAAGGGCTTACTTTACTCCCATTCACATTCCATTTGAGAGCACTTAGTCATTCGGCCCCTTACTTCTTAAGGAAATCTGAGAAATGTTGTCTAGGTGACCAGGAAGAAGAGGACAGTGGATTTCGGTGATTGCTAACATTCTCTGTTACATATTGTTTCTTTTGAAAATTTCTTCCCTTCCATTTTCAGTATTCTCACTTTCTAGATTTCCTGTTAGTCAGAGTTGAATCTCTAGGATTGATTTCTTAGTTCTTCTGTTTTTCATCTCTTATCTTTTTATGTGTTGGAAGATGTTATTTTTACATTTAATTGAAGATAAACCCTATTGAATTTTCATTTCAGCTACTCTATTTTTAATTTATAAGAACTCATTTTTGTTCTCTGATTATTCCTTTTTCTTGTTTCTTGGCACTTCCTGGTTCTGTGACCTTAGGCAAGACACTGCACCTTTCCAAACCTGTTTTCTTATCTGTAAAATAAAAGTAAAATTTATAATATTACCTTCACACTAAAATAATATTGTATTATATGCCATTGACTCTGCACCATCAGAAAGATTTGTGTTTTCATCCAGGGTTCTGCCACTTACTATAAGATCTTGGGCAAGTTACCTAACTTCCTTATATGTCTTGGTTTCCTCATTGCAATAAGGAGTCAATAATAATACCTACATCAGTAGGTTGTTAGGAGTCTTCAATGAGATAATGCTTTATAAAGCACAGCATCTAGCACACAGTATTCATTAACTACTAGTCTAAGAAATTATTATCTGTATTCCTTTTAAGAGCTACAACTTCCATAGAAACATATGAGCAATTTTAAACAAATACAATGAAGGTCATATATAAGTGCCAGAATAACATTATAAAGTAAAGTGCTCATTTGCAGCTCATGTGGATCTGCAAGTCTTAATGGACCCACAAGGATATGATTTGCACAGCTGGTCATTGGTGAATAAGGCCAAGGTGATCAATTTATATCCACTTCTGGAGATTCTAAAATGTTAAGCTCTAAAACATTTGACATTATCCTCAAGGAAATGGGGAGCCACTGAAGAGTTTTGGAGAGAGGAAAAATATCAGATTTATGTTTCAGGAAATGAGAATAAATTAATAGTAGTTTTTAAAAATGAGCTTGTAAATAAACGATCCCTTGAGAATGCTGAAATCTGTTGTCCTGGAGATTGTGTTGACTGATGGAGAAGAGCAGTGGTGTGGATGATCTAAAACAGTATCTTCCACAGGGTGCCTGGGTGTCTCAGTTGGTTAAGTGCCTGACTCTTGATTTCAGCTCAGGTCATGATGTCTGGGCCATGAATTCAAGCCCTGCATCGGGCTCTGCACTGAATGGGGCCTGCTTGAGATTCTCTCTCTCACTCTCTTTCTGCCCCTCCCTCTCGCTCAGGCTCTCTCTAAAAGTAAATAAGTTAATTGATTAATTAAATAAAATTAACTTCATTCCTTTTTGATGTGGTAAAATGTATATACATTTGATACATTTACATATTATAGATGCTTTATGGAAGATACAAAAAAATTTAGCATAATTAGATATTTATTTAGAAAATTAAGTTGGTAGGGCACCTGGGTGGCTCAGTCGGTTAAGTGTCTGCCTTCAGCTCAGATCGTGATCCCAGGGTCCTGGGATCAAGTTCTGCCTCGGGCTCCCAGCTCATCGGGGAGCCTGCTTCTTCCTCTGCCCCTCTCCCCTGCTTTTAATTAATAAAAGGCCACTTTGTTAATATACAGATTTTTATTCTAAGACTCCATTTTCTTGTATTTATAGCACACAATAGAAAAATAAGAATTATTATTTTTTAAAGATTTTATTTATTTATTTGACAGAGAGAGACACAGCGGGAGAGGGAACACAAGCAGAGGGAGTGAGAGAGGGAGAAGCAGGCTTCCCACAGAGCAGGGAGCCTGACGCGGGGCTCGATCCCAGGACCCTGGGATCATGACCCAAGCCGAAGGCAGACGCCTAACGACTGAGCCACCCAGGTGCCCCCCAAAATAAGAATTATTTACTTTAAGAATAACTTCCTCAATTTTGATTCATTAGGAAAGTTTTATAAAATATCTTTCCAGGGCGCCTGGGTGGCTCAGTTGGTTAGGCGACTGCCTTCGGCTCAGGTCATGATCCTGGAGTCCCTGGATCGAGTCCCGCATCGGGCTCCCTGCTCGGCAGGGTGCCTGCTTCTCCCTCTGACCCTCCCCCCTCTCATGTGCTCTCTCTCTCTCATTCTCTCGGTCTCAAATAAATAAATAAAATCTTTAAAAATAAAATAAAATAAAATAAAAAATAAAAAAATAAAATATCTTTCCATTCCTTCTGAAAAGTTAATATTTAGTTTATTCATAAGGCTAAAACTGCTTATTAGTTCATTTATGAAGGGCCTACAATAGTAACAGTACTAGTAGTAATAACACTAATGATAGTAATAGTCATGGTAGAGGTTTAGATCATATTTACTAAAAGCCAGGACTTGCTTTGTATTTATGTAATAGTCTTGTAGGTAGTTATTATTGCTGTTGTTATTGTTATTGTTATAACCTATTTTATGCATGAGGACACTGCAGCCAGAGAGGTTAACTAACTTATCCAAAGTCACATAGCTAGTATGATTTAAACCCAAGTAGTCGGGCTCCAGAGTCTGTGCTCTCAGAATACTACCCAGCTTTCCATTCCTCAAGCAGTCATAGTCTACAATGAGAAGAGACAACTCATTACAACTCATTGTTGTTACTTTATGGGACATCAAAAATGGTTCAGGTCTTAAAGTAGAAAATTGCCAAATAGGCACAAAGAGTAGAAGGATTGAGGGCCTCCTGTGCAAAGGCATGGAGGCATCAAAATGTGTAATGTATTTGGAAGTTGACGGGACTTGTGGTATAGCTGGCGTCCAGTGTGAATGGGAGGAAAAGTTGGGGGATACAGCTGGAAAGGCTGAGAACAGATTATGAAGAGCCTTCTGTGTCCCACTAAGGAATCTGAATGTCATTCTGTAGGTAACATGGAACTCCCCAGGGACTAGATGTGATGAGTTCTGGTTGCAGTGTGGAAAATGGCTTGGAGTGTGGAGGTGCTGAGACTGCAGCTTGGAAGAGTCCAAGCAAGAGATAATTAGGGCCAAAACTTTACTGGTGATATTGGGAATGAAGAAAGCAAATATTTTTAAAATATTTTAATTTTTTTCTGATTCATAGCAGCACATACTTATTATTTTAAACTACAGGGACACCTGGGTGGCTCAGTCGGTTAAGTGTCTGCATTCAGGTCAGGTCGTGATCCCAGGGTCCTGGAATCGAGCCCTGCATCGGGCTCCTTGCCCAGTGGGGAGCTTGCTTCTCCCTCTGCTGCTCCCCCTGCTTGTGCTCTCTCTCTCTCTGGCAAACAAATAAATAAAATCTTAAAAAAAAAAAAAAAGAAATGTATAATATAGAGGGAGTACAAACCAAAATTCTCCCAAAGAAAACCATTATCAACAATTTGGTGATAATACCCCTGTGCTTTATTCTCTGTTATAATGATTCTTTTATTTTTTAATCCAGACTTTAAATCCATTCCTTCACATCCTGTTGTAGATACCATTTATTGAGTGCATGCTATGTGCCAAGTATTGCATTCAGTATCTTTACTTATGTTATTTCATCTAATTCTTTTAATAATACTGTGAGGACTGGGTATTACTCTTACCATTTTATAGATGAGGACATTGAAACTTAGAGTAAGGCTACTGCTCAAGGTTATACAGCTAATAAATGACAGAACCAAGTTTTCAATCCAGATCTGTTTCTAAATTCCATGTTCTTTACCATTACTGTATCTTTAATAAGATTTGTGGACGATTCAGGTGTGAAGGAAAAGAAATTTATAGAAGATCCTGAGTACAGGGTAGACAAGAAGTCCTAAGTAGAACAGTTTCGCCAGAATCAACTTTACCCATCACCATTGTTTAGTTTAGTGTGAAATGTTAAATCCTTTGTTAAAGATCAGCATTTTTACTGAATTATCTCTTGTAAATTGCTTAAAAACTGAAGACAAAACTTGATTGGTGCATTTACAAATCAAACTGAGGTTGTTTAGGAAAATGATAGTATCACTCTGTGTTGAACCTAATTCTAACAAGGAAGGAAGGAAGGAAGGAAGGAAGGAAGGGAGAAAGAAAAAATTTATATTTGCCCATCAAAGATAATCATCTAGATATAGGATATGAAACATGATATGAAGGATTTGGAACCCAAATTTTATGAAAAGATTATAAATAAAGACTTTCTCTAAATGAATTTTTCTCTTGGACCAGGCAAGTGACATTCCATGTTACTGAGAGAACTTAAACCCCTCTCAGTGATCCATAAAAAATCATAGCCAATGGAAGATGTTCCAGAAGTCTAATACTGAAATAATAAATTTATGATTTATACTTAAAAATACTTATACTAATAATACTTAATAATACTTAAAAAAAATTTTTTTTTAAGATTTTTATTTATTCATTTGACAGAGATAGACACAGCGAGAGAGGGAACACAAGCAGGGGGAGTGGAAGAGGGAGAAGCAGGCCTCCCGCAGAGCGAGGAGCCCGATGCGGGGCTCGATCCCAGGACTCTGAGATCATGACCTGAGCCGAAGGCAGACGCTTAATGACTGAGCCACCCAGGCGCCCCTACTTAAAAAATTTTTAATCCAAAAATTTCAACCATATACAAAAGTAGAAAGTACGAAGAAACCCTATGTACCCATCACCCAATCTTAACAACCATCAATATTCCGCTGTGTTTGTTTCATCCATCTCCCCAACACCTCCCCTTCCTTTTTT